AACTAATGTTTCATTATTACTTCTGTAGCAAAAACAAATTAGTTACTCACCAGGAATATACAGCATAGAACATCAGCAAGAGATAACCAAACTGAAGACTGATTTGGAAAAGAAAAGTATCTTTTATGAAGAAGAATTATCTAAAAGGGAAGGAATACATGCAAATGAAATAAAAAATCTGAAGAAAGAACTCCATGATTCAGAAGGCCAACAACTTGCTCTCAACAAAGAAATTATGGTTTTAAAAGACAAATTGGAAAAAACTAGGAGAGAAAGGTAAGAAGCAAATTATTTACTTATATAATACATATATCTTGAGTACCTGATATGTATCAGGTACTAGAGATACATAGACAATAAATATAGCCCAGTCCTTAAGGAGACCAAAGTCAAGATTGGTAATTAGAAAGTTACAGTGTAGCATGATAGAAAAGCAAATGGAACAAGTTTAGGAGGCACATTATAGGTAATTGCGTACATGTAGACTTTCTGCACAAAATTACTTTTAAGCTGAGACCTAAGAAATTAAGAAAGAAGAAGTTGGGGGAGAGTATCTAGGCAGAAATAGAAGAATGTGCTGAGAACTAAAGGGAAAGGGGAGCATAGCACATTCAGAAAATAAAAGCTGTTTACAGTTGTGGAAACACAGATAGAAAGATGCAGTGGTGAGTAATGAGGCTGGAAAGGAAAGTAGAGGCAAGGTCATAAGGATTTATACTTTTTCCTAAGGGCATTAAAGGAAAGTAACATGATTATATTTTTGAATGATCACTCTCACTACTTTGTGGAGAATGGATTGAAAGGAGCACAGTGCAGGTAGGAATCCAGCTGTGAGAGAAGAGGTGATGAATCTCAGGTGGTTTTGTGGAAGATGAAGGCATAATGACCAGTTGTGAGAAATGAGGGAGCAGGGAAACGACCTGTGATACTAAAGTGTCTAGATTTTACAGCTGAATATGTGTTATGTCATTCTTGACATATATTCGAAGCCTGAGTTTATCCAATTTGGTGCATTCATTCAGTAATTATTTTTTAAAACTGATTATGTACAAAGCACTATTACAGGCATTGGGAATGTAGCAATGAATAAGCAGACAAAAAAGTCCCTGTTCTTATAGACCTTTCCTTTGGCGAAAAACAATAAAGTAAGTGAAAAGCAAACTATATTAGTGTAAAAAAAAGCAGGGAATGGGCCTATGTAGTATGAAAGGATGGATTAAATTATATAAATAGAGAATTATAAGGGAACATTATACTGAGAATGTGACTGATTTCTCAGTAAAGACTAAAGAAGTCAGGGAGGTATTTAAATATAAGAAGAGCACAGAGCACAAGAAGTCTGTTCATAAAATAGTGAGGATGCCCGTGCAGCCAAGTAGAGTAAAGAGAGACTAGTAGAGACACGTTGGAGAGGTGATAGGGGCCATTGGCCTTGTAAGACTATGTGAAATCAGTGAATGAAGGTAGGTAAAAAGGGTTTCTTAGAACTGACCTCTGGGGTACTCCAATTTTTAGAAGTTGAAAAATGAGGAGGAATAAGCAAAGTGGATAGAGAAGGAACAGCAAGAATGATAGGAAGAAAATGAGGAATGTTTAGAATCCTGGAAAC